CATGGTTACTATAACAAATGACTACAATCTAGACGGCTCAGCCCAACAGAACTTTATTCTCAAATAGTTCCATCATCTAGAAATCAAGTTGTCAGTAGAGTCAGGGGTTCTCTCCAAAGGCCATCACCAACAACCTTCTTTTGATTCTTTGTGCTTCATGATGGAATCATTCCAGCCTCACATCTGTCCTCACTTCCTGTCTCGTAAGGACACTTGTCACCGAGTGTGGGATGTGTCTAGTGATCTAGGATGATCTCATACAGGAAGTCTTATTTAATTACATATGCAAGTACCCTTTTCCAAATGAGAGTCTACCTGTATGTACTTGGACATGTCTTCTGAGAGGCCACCATTTAATCCACCACAGGTGACATGACTAATGGGCCCATTGGCCTTCCCTGAGTTCTAGTTGGGTGACAGTGGTTAGAGGGGACCCCTGTGGACAGTGTCAGCAAAAGAAGAGGTTTCAAGGAGATGTAGGAAGAGTCCACATGACCCTGCTGACTTGTCTAGAATCTGTGAATCTATAGGCTAGTGAGGGCCACTTTGAACACCCACATCTTTCTTCTTCCCAGGGATGAATATGTGTTAATAAGTTAGGTTTGGTTCTGCTGCAGTAACAAGTAAGTTTCCAAATCCCCTGATTCATAACACTTCAGGCTTTCTTGCCTGAGGTCCGACAGGTTGGCCACAGCCCTCTTCTAGGACTTTTTCACTCTACCGCCTGGCTGATGGAGAGATGAATCTGGGGTAGGACCAACCTTAAGGCAGCAAGAAGGGCTTTGGCTTAGGCTTCTATTGCTGGAAAAACACCATGATCAAAAGCAACTTGGGAAGGAAAGGGCTTATTACACTTTACAATTTACCATCTATTATTGAGGAAAGTCAGGGCAGGAGCCTGGAGGCAGGAGCTGATGCAGAGGCCACAGAGGAGTGCTGCTTGCTGGCTTCGTCTTCATGGCTTGCTGCTCAGTGTGCTTTTTTTTTTACACCCCAGGACCAGGGTTGCTACTACCCACAGTGGGCTGGGCTGCCCCACATCAATCATCAATCAAGAAAATGTCCCGCAGGCCAAACTGATGGAGGCATTTTGTTGATTGAGGCTCCTTCTCAGATGATTCTAGCTTGTGCCAAGTTGACAAAACTAACAAACCAACATGAACTCTCAATAAAGCCCGCACAGGTGCTGTGGCAAGAGCCTGCCTACCTGCTGAGATACCGTCTGGCTCCCCTCCTGCTTGTTCTCCCAGCTGTCTTAGGCAAGTTTCAAGTCCTGTGCTGTCTGCACGTTTTGGTCATATCCCCTGGCTTTCTCTTTGCCATTTCTAGACCTCCTGTGCTCTCTATTCCCCTTCTCCCAGGGAACTAAACCTTGGGTTTCATGCTGGTAACCTGCAGAACTGCTTTTGGGAAGTGCTGCTTTCCAAACAGAGCCTCAAGTGGCTGTCGGAATCAGTCATGTTCACAGCATCTGTGGGAAGAACACTTGGCTTCCGCATCGACTTAGACAGGCCTTGCCGAGTAGTCAAGGCCTCTTGCTTGAAGCTGATTAAGCAGAAGGGACTCTGGAGAGAAGCAAATTCAGTTTTTTGGCTCTGTGGGTCCACAACAAAGGACACTGCGAAGTCCTGAAACTGTAAGGAAATGACATCAGTTTAGTGTCCAACACAGAGGGACCATCTGGAGCCAGGAACCATAGCTTATATTGGAGTCCCAAAGGCTATATGAGCCCAGGAGATTAAGGACCAGGGTGTCTAATCTAATCTCTTTTTAACAGTTGATATCAGGATTGAGGTACATACAGTTCCTTGTGCCAAATAGACTGATCTTGTTTAATACAACTCCATCCAAAGCTTTCCCCTGAATCTTGCTTTTTTCAATGAGCTAATTTCTCTATTACAATCTACTTTGGGAAAGAGGGAGATGCTTGGGAAAGTTGCATTGCCTTTTAAAGCCACAGGGGTATCCTTTGGTGCATTCCTGCCCGGGCAATTATTACCTTCTGAGAGCCTGCCGAGCTGCCTCCTGCTTTCCCTTTGGTCTCCGTGGGGACTCATTATGTTTCTAGCAGGCAAGTATGAAATCGTGCAGTGCTGGCTTACCAGAAGGGTTTGCTACGGGAATTTCACAGACAGGACAGCTTCTGTCTTAAAGGAATTTACATCCCATGTAGCAGAATAGGGCATGATTGTGGCAGATGATAATAGGACTGCATTAATATTAAATGATGCCTGCTAGGCAGAGAACCAACGGATCCTAATAGCACAGATCCATTTATCACCTCCTCCCTGTGAAGCTTGGTTGGGGGACAGTGGTGTTTCCTCTTTACAAATTAGGAAAACACAGGCTCAGCATTTTGTTGTCCTGCAGAGGAGGAATTCTTAGCAAGATCCCTGAGTGCGGATGATTGGGGCTTCTTGAAGCTATCTGCTAAGGCAGGTAAATAATTGATTTGTTCTTGGGGGCAGGGTGGGTGTGATTTTCCTTACATTCTACAGTTTCTGTACCTGCCAGTGATTCAGAACCACTATGGTGGAGAGTCTACTCTTGTACACTAGTTAGTAATTATCATAGTTTGAATATAAATCCCCCCCCCAGTGGCTTATGTGTGGAAACCTTGGTACCCAGCTTTGCCAGCCCAGTCATTTGAGAAATTATTGGATTCTGAGGGTTCTAAGCAAACTGGTGGATTAATCCCCTGATGGATTAATACTATGATGGCATTATTGGGAGATACAGCCTTGTTGGAAGAAGCATGGGCCCCAGGAAAGTAAACTGTCTCCCTAGCCCTTCCTGTTTCTCTTTGCTTCCTAGTGGCCATCGCATGGCAGCCTCCTCTTTGCTGTGTCTTTCAGCCATGATGCCTCTGTCTTGCCATAAGCTTAAAGTAATGCAGTCAGATGACCTGGGTCTTGCCATAAGCTTAAAGTAATGCAGTCAGATGACCTGGGACTGAAATCGTGGAATCCATGAGCTAAAAACAAAACAAAGCAAAACAAAACAACCTAACTAAGACAAGACAAAAAATTTCCTCCTTTTAGATTGTTTCTTTCAGGCATTTTTATCATACTATTGAAAAGGCTAACACAGCAAGTGGGTCCCTATTGATGTTCAAGCCTACATCTCAATGTATTTTCTCTGGTTGCCAACCTTTATAGTAGTGGGCAAAACTGGAAGAACAACTTTTTTAAAAAGATTTGATTTATTTATTATGAATACAATATCCTGCCTCTGTATGTCTGCAAGCCAGGAGAAGGCACCAGATCTCATTACGGATGGTTGTAAGCCACCATGTAGTTGCTGGGAATTGAACTCAGGACCTCTGGAAGATCAGTCAGTGCTCTTAACCTCTGAGCCATCTCTCCAGCCCAAGAACAACTTTTGGAGGAGACATGTTTACATGTCTCCCTTTTCTAACTCTGCGCTGGAAAGTTGAAAGTGTTGCTTGATCTCAAATACCCCCATGTACAGTGGAGTTACTGTAGTGCAGGGTGGGAAGAAATCTCTAAAATCTTTAGGCTGTGCAGACAAGGAAACTGAGGCCCAGAGGCTGGCTCATGCCCAGATAATAAGTCAGTGACCGAGTCAGGCACCACACTTGTTCTTTTAAAGGACTTGACTCCAACCACAATTGGAACCTCTTGCCAATATTTCTTAGCAAATGACAGGACAATGTGACTCATTTTTGACATTATGCAAATGAAGGCAACAAGACTGAGTGCCCTTCTGTCCAGAGAGCAGGAAATGAAGGCTGTCTGGGACCGTATGGTCCCAGGGACATACAGTGTCACAAGGGAGGTCTGGAAGAACCCGGCCTTTGTTCCCTTGTCTTCCCTCAGCTATTCTCAGCCATGGCTAGCAGCATTGGCACCCAACCTACACTCCCAGCGGCAACCAGGGAGTCTCATGAGGACATGTAGGTTGGTCGTGCTCTCTATAGAACTGCCAGCAGAGAGTCCTTCCCTTTCAACCTTGCCCCCAACCCCACGCCAAAGCAGCATTTGCACTCCCTGGAAGAGATGTTTCGAGCCAATTGGTCCTTCCCTCCCCTAGGAAGCAGAGTCATGTGCCACAATGGGCCTTATAGTTTGTGTCAGAGAAGTGCTGAGCTGATGCTGTTGGAGTTTATTGGGTTTTGTATTTCAGCTCCTTCCCCACTTACAGGATGACCTCATCCCGGCTGCAGTGTCCTCAACCCAGGCTGTTCCTGTGAGCGTCAGTCTTTGTGCTAGCCTTGTGAGGCAGGGGTCAGTTATGGAAACTCTCCCAGCTCTGGCTTCCTTCAACTAGGCAGAACAGAGTTTCACCAGAGTGAGTTATAGTGGGACAGCCCAGAAATGAAGGAGTTTCTAAGGAGGTTAGTACCTTCCAGAGAGTAGGCAAGCTAGGGGAGCTTTTAGAGTCATTAGACACAAGAGGAAACTGAGGCAGGTGGGGGGGTGAGGAAGTAAAGGCTATGGGGCCACAGAGGCAGGTGGCTGCAGCTGGACGACAAAGACTGGAAACTGAGCCTTAGTGCTGATTTGGTACACTCTGGGTCACACACCTGTCTTTTGAGATGTCTTCATAGACCACAGCTTGTTTTTAAATTGTACTGCTGGTTAATGTAGAGATCCCCCAAGGTGTGTGTGTGTGGGGGGGGGTGTCAAAGACTAAGAGCTGGACAGCTGGCTCAGTGCTTAAGGGCCTGAGTGCAGTTCCTAGCACCCATAGTGGCAGATCATAACCATCTGTAACTCCAGCTCCAGAAGAGCGGATGCTTTGGCCTGGGACACCTGTACCACATACACATATGTACACACAGACACATAGATATGCATAATTTAAAATAAAAATATTTTTAAGAACCGAAGGATGAAAGATGTTGAACAACTTCTCAGGTTCTTTTTTGAATACACTCTCCCGGTGGTGGGTTGGGGTGGGGTGGGATGGGGTGGGGTGAAGGGCCCCCTTCCTTTCCAGCAGAGCCTTCACTGTCTCCTTCGCTTGAGTCATCTGGACACAAGCCAGCCTGGCACCCAGGCTTCTGCTATGAGTTGGCTGTAACAGGCTATCCATGCAGAGGGTCCACTGCCGCTCTTGTGGAACCAAGTTCTCTTTATCACCTGCCACTAGAGACTTCCCTTGCCCCTCCCTTCCCGGCTCCAGCCTGGGTGTTGTGCAAGAGCCAGAGGAATTTGTGATAATGGAGCCACATGCCCAGGCCCAACCCAGGCCCAAGGAACTTGACCTGAAGCGGGAGGGTAAGCAAGAACCTCCTAGCTCCCAGGCCAGAAGGGTGGCCAGCAGCCACAAGGAAACTCCTAGTCCTTCTGAATGCTGCCAAGAAGAGGAGGTTTGCATTCTTATTTATAGCTTTGCGCTTGCAGAGGGGGGAGAGCTCGATCCTTCTGGAGCTTGGCACATGCATGATTCATTTCCCCCGGGAGCTGCGGGCCGAGGCAGGGCGTGCGCTCCGGCAGCCTCCGGCCAGCCGCACACTCCAGCCTGCTCGTTTATTTATGGTGCTTTATCAGGGGCTGTGCACGGCGGCGATAAAGTTTATGAAAAGAGGCGGCGTCTCCGGCGGCGGGCTGGGCCCGGGCGCTCCTTTCCCACACTGATTAGGATCAGCCGGGGCTTTGGAAGCGGCAGTTAAGGATCAGGGTGCTGGGACCTGGCTCCCCTTCCTGCCGCGCCCAGCCTGGCCGGCTGCTGGCCCGCGTGGGTGGGAGGTCCGCGCTGTGACCCGGCACGGGGCGGGCGCAGGGCAGCCTGGAAATCCAGCGCCCAGATCCTAATTGACGACGTGGAACGGGACTCAGGCGCCATTTCTCCTCTGAATGTGGCAACTCTGATCGATCCCGTGGGTTTACTTTTCCACCTACCGGTTCTTTCCCTGTGTGTTTGCTCTCCCGATGCGTTTGAGCCCATCCCTTCGCAGACTCTACTGTGAGAACGCCTTTAATAGCTTGCAGAGATAAATTCAGGATTAGTAGCTCCGGTCTGGCCCCTCTCAAAGTCACAGAGGGTGGATTACAGAGTAACCACAGCCTAGGGTTATAAGGCCCCAAAGCAGGCGCAGAGGCTGAAGATTGCCCTATCCTCACTGAATGGCTTAGTCTGTGGTGACCTCAGGGAGGTGCCATTCCTAGCCAGAACATTGCACTAAGTGATATAATGTGACTCAGAAAGGCTGTGGCTGACCTTCAGTGGGACCTTAGAAGCAGGAGATGTGCTTCAGTGGTAGAGTCCTGTCTCAGGGTTGATCCCCTAGTACCACCCTCAAAAAAGTAACCTGAACATCAGCAAATAGTAGCAGAGCCCACTCACTGGACCTCTGAATTCCCTGACCTCTCTAGTAACGAGAATGCAGTCCACAGGACTGCCATCCTGCCTGGGAAAGTCACCAAGGTGTCACCATCTTGAAAGGAAGGGCCATGCCTTCACTGTCATGTGACTGGTTTAGTATCACCTATGAGATCTGATGGGATGTTTCCAGGAGACAACTCAAGAAGGAAGACCCGCCATGAATGTGACCTCCATCCTACGGGCTGGAGGCCTGGACTGAGTAAGAAGGACATCGCAAGCTAAGCCCTACTGTTCGTCTTTCTCCATTGCTTGGTGAGATGCAAGGTCACCGGCTGCCTTGCACTCCCGATGTCAAGCCTACCTTGCTGTGGTGACATTCCTTCAAGCCAAGTGCTGAAATGAACCCTTGTGTTGCTTGTGTGCGTGCGTGTGTTTTGTTATTTTATCACAGCAAGAAGACATATAACAACACAAGTAGATGTTCACTAGACGCAATGGTGGGAAGGTAGGATTTCAAGCAGATGTTCACTAGACGCAATGGTGGAAGGTAGGAGTTTCAAGCAGAACAAACCCTGCCCAGAACTGGCTCTCGGGGCAAGCTACTTTCACCTTCCACTTCTCCAAGGGATGGGGTGACAGAAGGGCAGAATGGGGTTGCCTTCACAGCCTATTTCCTTGATCTGGAACCTTCTGCTCACAGCTACTGAAATTCCACTATTGCAACAATCTAATAACAACCCAATCTCCAGGCTGGAGAAATGACTCAGCAGTTAAGAACCCTGGCTGTTCTTCCTTAGAACCCAGGTTCAATTCCCAGCACCCACATGGCAACTCATACCTGTCTGTAACTCCAAGATCTGACACCCTCACACAGACACACATGCAGGCAGAATACCAATGCAAACTAAATAAAAGTAAATTATTTAAAAAAGAAAAAACCCAGCCCTGATCTCCTCCTGTCCCTCTCAGATGCACTCCTTGTCTCCCAGACTGAGACTGAAGTCAGTCCTTCCTTTTGCCTCCCTCATACCAAACCTGCCTCTCAGCCTGAGAGCTCTGTGAGGTTGGGCTCCACCTGCCTGTGCTACTAGACTGCCTGACACAGTCCTCTTCACACTTGCATTGGCCCCAGATCTGGTTTGCTATTCTGCACTCACGAGGTGCTTAGTAACTGTGTTTGGTGAATACATAGGGGCGTGGTGTTGGGGGAGGGGATGACTTCTCATCTCACAGATATCTTATTTATTATCCCTTTATGAATTTCAAAACCAGGCAGACTCAAAATGATCATTCGTGTCTACACCAGGGAAGGCCTAGACCACACTGTCAAGAGAAGACAAAGACCTAGCAACCAGGCTGGCTGAGGCTAAGTAACCTAAGCTGCCAGCCCTTAAAACCCGCCAGACATGAAGCAGGATTAGTCGCAGGGCCTGGACCTAGCGACGAGTCAACAAACGGAAGTCGTGTTGCCCTAGTTATGGGGGAGAATGTGAGGGCTTCCAGCCAGGCCAGTCATTGCACAATCCACCTTGAATGCAGGGAAGCATTCCATGGAGCAGGGCATGCTGGACATTTGACTCTACCGGGTACACCATCAGCAATAGGTGCTTTCCGGGTCCTTTGCTAGCGGGAGTTAGGACTGTTTTGTTCTTTGTTTTCGTTTTTTAAAACTAGATTTTTAAAGACAATTTAGAAAAGCAATACACAAATATACTTTTAAAAGTAGAATGAGTGGCTGGAGAGATGGTTCAGCAGTTAAGAGCACTGGCAGCTCTCCCAGAGGACTGGATATCAATTCCCAGCACCTACATGGTAGCTCGTGAATGTAACTCCATTCCCAGAGCATCTTGATACCCTCTTTTGGTCTCTGTACCAGGTATGAAAAAGGCACAGATATGCAGACAAAAGATTCATAAAAGAAAAAGAAGGGTCAGTTTGGATTTAAGAGGAGTCAAGCCCTAAATAAAATTAAATAAAATTTTAATTCAAATAATTCCAGTGCTTGGGAGGTAGGGGCAGGCTTCTGTGATCTCTATGATGAGTTCAAGAATAGATTGGTTGGTCTGCATAGCAAGTTCTGGGTCAGCCAGGGCTACAGAGTGAGACCCTGCCAAAAAAACAAAAAACAAACAAACAAATAAAAAACCCAAAGAGGTAAAAAGGGTATACAAAGAGAATTCTACTCCCAGTCACATACAGCTTAATTAATCATCTCCCTTCCTTCAAGGTACAGTCATCACTGAGAACTTTTTAAAAGCTGGGAATATAGCTTTGTTTGTAGAGTGTTTTCCTAGCAGGAGTGAAGTCCTGGGTTCAAGTTTCAGGTCCATGTAAGATCAAGCACAGTGATACACACCTGTCACACCAGCACTCAGGGAATAGAGGTAGAAGGGTTGGAAATTCAAGGTCATCCTCAGCTATATAATGAGTTTGAGGCAAATGTAGGCTATGTGACACACCCCTTCCTATCCCCCCAATAATAATTTTCAAAGATCTAATATACACACACACACACACATACAATGCTTTGCATTTTTATGACAATCTCAAAAGGTTACTATGAGCCTATGAGCCGGGCGGTGGTGGCGCATGCCTTTAATCCCAGCACTCGGGAGGCAGAGGCAGGCGGATCTCTGTGAGTTCAAGGCCAGGCTGGACCGACAACCTCCAAAACAATACAGAGAAACCCTGTCTCGTAAAAACCGGAAAAAAAAAAGGTTGCTATGAAGTTAATGCATTTGTAGGCAATGTTTACCTGATGTTCATTGGTTTCTAAAAATGAGGATTAGGGTTCATGGGTTTGAAAATTGTAGAATTGGTCTTGCCTATTCTGAATGATGCTAAGTATCAAGACAGTGTGGACTACTATGCTCTGAGCCTCTCCTGTACTACCTAGACAAGGCTGAAGCAAAGACAGTGGAAGAAAGATCCAAGGAGTCATGGTTGGTCACAACGTGGATAGATACTGCTAACAGGCTGTCAGGATGGCTCACAGGAAGATGACTGAGGCTGATACAGCAATTATTTAGTGGGTAGATGCTCACTGAAGTATGTATGAGTGCTCTGCAGTTACTCTGCTATATCGTGTTTGGGTGAGCAGGAGTCATGGGGATGAGTAGAGGAGGTAAATTGTCCTCATGCAATGACAAAGGAGAAGCTCCTCTGTAGAGCCAGTGTCCAGCCAGCATCATTTAGTCCAGAGAAGGAAAGAATACAAAGAGGCTTAATGACTGAGGCATAGCAAAGAAAGTTCAATTCACTTAGGTTCTCAAGGACCAGTGACCTCCTAGAGGGGACTATATACCCCATGATCTTCCTAGAGCAAAGGCTGTCTAGGCCCAGGAGTTTTCCAAGTATCCCCAAGGTATCCCTGAGGATACCCTATGGGTGCTGTCCAGTCTTTTTCCCTACTGTGTGGTGGTCCAGTATCAGAGCTGCCAGCTCTACCCCTCCATGCCACAAGACCTCACTAGGCTGTCTTTCCAATCCTTTCATTGCTCCCCCATGGGACCCAGACAGAAGTCCAAAGCGTGTGTGACGGAAGGATTCTCAAATCAGTTGCTCTTCCCCAGAATCTTAGACTGTCTTCCTGAATTAACTGGGGCTTCTGTCTCCTGTCCCACAACACAGGCTACTTCCCAGGAGACCAGGGCCTGTCACACAGCTGTCAGACAAGCTCAGACATGTCAGAACCCGTCTTAAGTTCAGTTGAGGCTCTAGATTCGCCCTAATAATAACCAGCAAGTGTTCAGATAGTTTGACAGAAGATTCGAATGAATTATTCTATGACGAAGGCCAAACTGGAGGCTCTGGGAACAGACTGTAATGGGTGGGAGTGGGGTGGGGGGAAGGGTTTTAGCAAGTAAAAAAAGACTCTCCCCTCCCTACCTCCCCCCTTCCTTCCTTCTTTCCCTCCTTTTTCCCTTTATTCTTTTTAATAGTTGGAGAGATTTAGCGTAAGGTCTCATGCTTGCTGGGCACTGAACGATATCCCTACTCCCTCCTCTTTATTTCCCCTCTTTGTTTTTGACACTGGATCTCACTGAGTAACCCAGGTTGGCTTTGAACCCACTCTGTAGCCCAGACAGGTGTGAACTCGTTCTCCCTGCATCAGTCTCTAAGTAGCTGGGGTTACAGACTTGTGCCTCCAGACCTGGCAAAGGAATGTTTTTATCAGCGTGATAATAAGGCAAGTTATTGGTGTCTTCCTTGGGTGAGGTCTTGTGTCTTCTTGCCCTTGGGACTGCTGGAGTGAACTGAGGAAGGCCAGCTTTAAAACAGAGCACCCCTGTGGCCCTTTCCGTAATTCATGCCACATAACAGTTCCATGTTTTTTTTCCACACATTCTCTTGAGTCTTAAATCTTTACACCTGCAGGCAACAGAACTAATGAACAAGAAGTGAACAGATATGAATGGGGGAGGCTGGGCATCTAGCTGGCTTGTTGCTCATTTTAAAGGAGGTGTGTTTGAGGTTTTATGTGGCCGGCCCACTGTGCAGACCTATTTTCTGTTAAAATTCCTCTTGGTTCACGGGATGTAAAGAAACAGATCATTATTCCCTGGCGTTCCTCATGTTTTAGGAAGCATGCAGTGACATTCAGTTCTCTGTCACCGAGAACGCTTGAGCATTATATTGTAGTCTGGGGGTGAGGGACCGCCTTCCTCCCCCTTCTCTCCTCCCTCTGCTGTTTGCACCATGGCCTGGACTGACTCTCAGCCTCTGCCAGGCTAAAGATAACCTCTCCATCTGGGATATCACCCACATGCTAAATTTATTTTCAGGGGTGAGTTGGGGCTACCCTGACCTGTGACTCTAGGCAAGTACTGGGTCACTCTTGACTCTGCAGCAACTTGAGAGGTCCAATGGAAGGAGAAGGGACAGGGGTGAAAGTTACAAAGATTAATGGGAAGCTGCCAAAAAAGACTTCGGAGAAAGACACACCCACGACACACTGTGATTTGAGAATAAGCCTGTGAGTCTGAAGGATTTGACTGCTTCATGCAAAGGGTTCTTTGCTGTCAGTTATAACATTACTGTAATACAATCCCAGAAGGAAAAGCCCAGTGTTAATCGGGGCTCAAGAAGTCAGTGGACTTGATGTACAGAATGGGGTATTTAATTTTATGATGTGGCTATGGGTTACATGGGAGACTAATAAAAGAACTCCATAAAACATGGCTTGCAGCAATGGGGCTCCAGCTTCTGCCAGAGGGGCAGCTCGGCTCAGAAGTGGTTTCAGACTAGGGCTGCTCTCTGGCTGGTATGTGCTGGTGTGGTCGCTCTGATTCTTCAACTATTGCAACCCTTCTGCAACCATCATTAAGGAACTATGACTCTCATTTTCCCTGAGAGCTGCCCCACTGCCCCAAGCTGTCACCCCAGACATGCTCAGGATCTAACCAGAAAAATACAGACAG